GTTTTGTTTCAAGGTCACTCTGACACAACTGCAAGTTCAACTGGAGGGGAGCAGTACTGACCAGGAGAAAAGTTAGGAGATTGTTGTATGGTCAAACCAAAAACGGAGCAGGGTATGGTGAATCTAAGGTCATGGGAGCTGGAATATAGAAAAACAGCAGATTCAAAAGACAGCTGACAAGTTGGGCTTTGGAAGCAAGGACAAACAGAAAAGTACATAACTCCCACTTTTTCTAAGTTTCTAGCTAGACACCTGAGTGGATAATGGTACAATTCCCCAAGATAAGGTATATAGGAAGAGAAATAGGTTTGAGGAAGTCTAGTATTAATTTGGACATGTTGCATGTGGGACATCCCGGTGGAAATGTCAAGCATGCAGGAAGAAATATGGCCTGAAACACAATGGAGATAGAAACCTGGTGCTCAGTGGTGCACTATGAGAGTTAAAACTAGGATCTGGATGACGTAACTCAGGAAGAGAGTGAAGAGTGAGAGGATCAAGGACACAATTCCAGGCAATACTAACATTTAAGGGGCAGGCAAAGAATGGCAAGCCAGTCCCCCAAAACCAAGTAGAAGCTGCCTGTGAATGAACCTAACAGGATAACAATTTTCAAGTTAAAAAACTCCCCATCTTCAGTGATACACTCTTCCTAAGAGCAGCAATGAATAATTTCATTGCAATGAGTAACTTCATTGCTTGAAAGATCTACTCTAGAATCAGGCTGCAACCAGACAGTGGATGAAGATAGTAACTAAAACTAGACAGGACACAAAGGCCATGGCTACATTTAGGATGCTGAGTCAAATCAATGTTAACTGCAGTTATATAACTAAAACTATATAGAGTTGGTTAAAGTATTATACTGAACAGATTAAGTCTCACAGAATACAGCAACAGGAGTGATTGCTCTGCTGAATACTCTCCTCTGAAGAGAGAAAAGAGAATTGCAAAATGTCTATCTCTGTTAAGGCTCCCCTCCCTAAGAAAGCCGACTTCCTGCAACTGCCCAGGTTTTGGTGTCAAGGGCTGATTCCTAGCCAGGGGTTGCCAGCTGCAGAGGGCGGGGCTCTATTTTGGGCTGCCTGTCCCTGAGCCTGGCCAAGTCTGGTTTGAGCAGCATGCAGCCCCAGTGACTCACACACCCATGCAAACCGCCTGTGGCTCAGTGGCCTGGCCTCGGAATGCCAGCCTTAGGCCAGCTCCCTCCTCACCCCATTACACTGGAATAAATAAATAAAGAGCCCCGCCAGCAGCCGCACAGCCTGATGGCAACCAGATGGAAAGAGAAAGGCATGGACAGGGCCAGGGGAAGGAACTCCCTCCAGTGGACTAGACTGAGAGTGGGCTGTGCCAGCCCAATCATTCTAAAGTTCCCCTTTAACATAGTTCCTACTGCCATGCAATAATAGTCCCCAATTCCTTGATTCGTCTTCTATTGCTAACGGTGACTTTTTTAATTTATTTATTGATTGATTTCAGAGAGGAAGGGAGAAGGAGAGAAAGAAACATCAATGATAAGAGCGAATCATTGATAGGCTGCCTCCTGCAAGCCCCCTATTGGGGATCGAGCCCACAACCCAGGCATGTGCGCTAGGCCGGAATCGAACCTGGGACCCTTCAGTCCACAGGCTGACGCTCTATCCACTGAGCCATGCCAGCTAGGGCTAAAGGTGACTTTCAACCCCTAGTCCTAGGAAATGCTCTATAAAGGGCTCTTGCCCTCTCTAAGAATCAAGCCAACAGCCACTCCACCCAGGTGACTTGTATCAACATTGCCAGTATTTCCCCTCTAGTTAGGCCACCATCACCTGGCCCCCTTGGGCTCCCTGGAAATGAGAGATCAGAGGCTCTTGGGGGGAAGGGGGAAAAAAGGACTAAATATGGATAAATAACCCCTGTTCAATCCTTAAATATTTTTCCTGGTCTTAGTATCCTAGAAACCTCTGTCCTACTGCCCCTTGCCCTATCTCTATGGCCTCTTATCCAGCAATAGTCCCAACAAGAACTAGGGAAAACAGACCCCAGACACTGACCGCATGGCCCTCTGACATCAGTCCTGGCCCTCCTGCACCTTCATCCCGAGCTCTCTGTCCCTGGTTTGTTTATCTTCCTATGTTGCTTATTTTGATGGCACATCCTTTTAGCTCAGTCTTGAATGACCCCTTGACCCTTCTGTGTCCTGTTTGTAGGACCCCAGGCAAGCAGAGTAACTGAAAAGATGCAGCGACCATCAGAGATTCTGCAGTCCCATTAGGAATCCTTTCAGCTCTAGCAGTGATGCAGGACATTCAGTGATCCCAGAGGTCACAAGAATTCCACATTATCCTAGCCCTTAACTCTCCTCTAATTGGAATGTACAACCAAAGTAGCAAAACAAAATAGGGGTAATCCTAGACAATAAATGTAGGCAGTCCCAAACATACAGCTATAGTTTTATGTCCTTAGGCAAGGCACTTAACCTCTCAGAGGCTTGATTTCTTTTTCTTTTTTAAAAAATATATTTTTATTGATTTCAGAGAGGAAGAGAGAGGGGGAAAGATAGATAGAAACATCAGCGATGAGAGCGAATCATTGATCGGCTGCCCCCTGCACATCCCCTGCTGGGGATCGAGCCCTCAACCCGGGCATGTGCCCTTGACCGGAATCGAACGCAGGACCCTTCAGTCCGTAAGCTGATGCTCTATCCACTGTCAGAGGCTCAATTTCTTTATCTATGAAATGGAAAGCTACAGCTACCTGTCTCTCAGATCCTTTGCAGATATAATAAAATTCTACAAGTCTATGAGGTTTGGATGATATCCACCCAAAGCCTAAAGGACCAGTATTCTTGAAGTGGTTGGTTCAAAAACACTAAGATCCTTCCTGGACTAGCACCTGGATTCTATATGCTTTCTTTTGTGTTTTGTGTGCGTGTGTGTGTGTGTGTGTGTGTGTGTGTGTTATTCTCACTTGAGGATATGTGTGGGGGTTTTTATTTGTTTTGTTTTTTCAAATGATTTTGAGAGAGAGAGAGAGACAGAGAGAAAAACTTTAATCAGTTGCCTCCCGTATGTGCTCTAAACAACTGAGTCTCCCGGCCAGGGCTCTATATGCTTTCACATTCAGGTCTGTAGGTTTCTACCCACCCCAACAGCATGGAAGAGATGAGCCTCCAATTTTTCCAATGTACCTCAGTAGCAGGGATGAAGTATTATCTTTAAAAGGAGAGTCCTAACCCTAGCTGGTTTGGCTCAGTGGATACAGTGTTGGCCTGCGGACTGAAGGGTCCCAGGTTTAATTCGGGTCATGGGCACATGCCCAGGTTGCAGACTCGATCCCCAATAGGAGGCTGCAGGAGGCAGCCGATCAATGATTCTCTCTCATCATTGATGTTTCTATCTCTCTCTCCCTCTCTGAAATCAATAAAAATATATTTAAATAAATAAATAAAAGGAGAGTCCTGAAAGGTCTCCTAAAGAGGCTGAAGCTGACACTTAAAAAATTAATAGAAGTTTACAAGGTAGTTAAGTCCAGGGCATTGGGCATTCAGACAAAGGGAACAATGTGTTCAAGGATATAAAGTTAGAGAAAAAGCACCTTTGGTGATTGAAAGTTATTCTATATGGCTGAAGCGTAAAGTACATAAAGAAAAATGTCAAGAAACCAAGCTGGCCAGTGTTGTAGGCACTAGATCAAGAAGGGACCCCTCTGCTGAGCTAAGAGTAAGCTTTGCATTGTTTAACTAAGGGGCTGATGTACAAACCATGTCATCTCCAGCCTATGTTAACCTTATCCCCAAACTTATAGACAAGGGAAGCTAACTGGCAGAAAATGGGCCTAGGAAGTCTCTCTCTACTATAAGTCTAGGTTTAATGGTCTCTCTTTCCCCATAAAGACTTGAAACCTTTTCTGCTTCAGGACTTAACAATATATGCTTTCCTTCTCCAGAGTTACAATTGCTTCAATAGATGGACTTAGCATTCTACTCGCATTTTTTTTTGTCCTTAGTTTAAGACCCCAAGCATTATGGAGTCATTGCTCAGTCAATACACAGAGGCAGAACAGAAAGTCCCACCTTAAGAACACCTGCTTTATGCTTAGCTCTGTGAAAAGCACTAATTTGCAGTTCAAAAGACATTTGAGTGACAGCCCCTACCCACAAGGAGTTTACAAATTCACTTAGAAGACAAGATAGAAATATGAATAAATTACATATAACATAGTATTATAATAGCATTATTTACTTACATAAGAAAGTACCAACTTGAGTAACATATACAATTAGAAAACAAGGCAATAATACTAAGGTACTAACTGTACAACCAACAAGTCCCAAAAGAGTTAGAGAAAGAGAAGATCAATATTGACTGGGATTATCAAAGGTCACTATTAATAATACTCCCCCTGTTTGGCATTTAACAGATGTTTCTTTTGGCCAAGCTCAATCCTTAGAAGGGAAACCTAGGCAGGAGCTTCTGACAGGCCACAATTATCTACTCCCCATTCATTCCTTTGCCAGTCCCCTTGTATAAACACTGTGATTTTCCACAGCCTACTGTGCCCACAAGACAGTCCCCAAATGGTAGCCCTGTGCTTTCCACCTTCCTCTACTGCGAGATGTTAAAGGGGCCTCGACAAGTAATAATAATTACCCCTCCCCGCCTACCGATCCACAGTCCAGACTTGCGATCAGATCTCAACAAGCAAAGATTTAGCAACTGGGCAACCAAGCTTTCCAAGGTTAGAAAATTCCAAATGAAATACCTAGGTACTTTAACAGAGATGTTTTATGAATGTTAATCAGCCCACTTTGCCTTTTACATTCTTACCTCTTCTTTCCCCCATCTTCCCCATGTACATCTCAAGCTTTATCAGACTTTCTATAGGCAACTTTTTCAGAGAAAGGGCTTTCCAACCATGCAAGCACCTAACACCCAAATGCAAGTCACCACTCGGGCACCTGGAAAAAGGAAGTAAAGCCAAGTTGCACAGGACAAAGGAAATAAAAAATACTCTACCTCTACCATAAATTGTTCCAAGAAAGAATTTTCTTCAAATGGCTCTGTCTTCAACCGGTCTGTAATAAGAAAGGATACAGAAAAGAAATGTGAGTCTTAGGACAAGCTTCCTACCTATGAGATGGAAAGGAAACAGAGCCCAAAACTTCTTCTTGGGAAAGAGCACAAAGATGCAATACCCAGACTCACCTAGTCCAGTGGGAGAAGGGATGAGAGTGTGTGGGCAAACAGGAGGAGAGGGTGATTAGCAACAAACAACAGAATCGGTGGCAGCATGTGCTCCTGAAGTTTTTCGCAACATAAAGACAAAGGTCAAACTGAATTTTTACTCTGAAGTTGGAGCTATGCAACTTCCTAAAGTCCCAAGTTCATGTTGCCCTCGTACAATTTTGTATAGCTGCTGGCCCCTATCCAAAGTCTTTCCTTGCCACTGTCTAGGGCATGTCTGGACTCAGTCACAGCTTCTATTGGCCAGTTGGGTGCCAGCCAGGTGTTCCAGGCAGAGAGAGGTGTCACCAAGCATCAAGTCTCCAGTTTTGGTCAGAACCTAGCACCCACCCTTGGGGAAGCCCTCTCTAAAGCAAATAAAGTCTCCCCCTTTTCAGAGGCACCTTTGATTATCTGTACCATTTCCCACTCAGTATCTCAAAGAATGTCCTCTCACCTCGGCTCAATGTAGCCCCGCTCTCCTGGTAGTCCTGGATCTCTAGGTCTTTCATACAAAGCAATGTTGCCAGCTCCTTCACTTGGCACTGCAATGCCAGACTCATGCCCATCAGAGGACGAATCAAATGTTGGGAGACCTTTCATGGAAGAGATAGCAATTAACCAGCAGATACTTATAAAATACTCCCTAATACTGCATTAGGAATTAGAAAAAAATACTGAAGAATAAATGTTTTCGCAGGAACTTACAGGGTCATAGGCAAGCAATCCATTTACATGAATATAAACACAAATATAATAAGTAAGTATATTAAAGAAGTTCAAGGATTTTCTTTGAGTCACAGACAAAAAGATGGGAAGAATAAAGAATACTCATGGCCTGGCTGGTGTTGCTCAGTGGTTGAGCATCGACCCATGAACCAAGAGGTCCCTGGTTCGATTCCCCATCAGGGCACATGACTGGGTTGCGGGCTCAATCCCCAGCAGGGAGGCAGCTAATTGATATTTCTTTCTATATATCCCTCTCTCTACCTCTCTCTCTAAAAATCTACAAAAACATTTTTTCAAAAGAATACTCATGAATAGCTACCTAGAAAGTGTGATTTCAAGAGAAGGATGTGGTACAGCTGATAAGAGGAAAGTGCTAACTCAATTTTTAGCAGAGACTGAGGCACAAAAGCAGAAGAGCCAACTAAACCTTCAAGAAATTAATTGTGGCTACAACAGAGTATGCTAGCTGGAGTATAAAAGGAGACAAAAATCACAGAAAGTAGAGAGACTTCAAAGTCGAATTTGATCCATACACTAGTGAAGAGCCATTTCAGGGCTGATGATAGCCCAGAATGAGCCCAGAGTTTCAATCTGTTTCCACCAATGCCACAAAGTCTAAGGCCATTGTTGTAATAGAAGCAAGACAGTCACTAAGAGACCAGCCTCAGAGGAAATAAACCACCAACACACCTTGGTCTTAATAAGAGGTAAGAAGGTCACAAGCATAGCCATACTGCAGTGCAGCTAGGATGGTGTTCTCATGTGATAATGTACAGCAATACAAAATTATCATTTAATTCGCCTATGCAAAGTGTCCATTAGCCTTTGAAAGATAAAAGCCTTAGCCAAAGAAAATAACTAAAATCAATAATCTATTTGTGGCTTGAGGATGTTATCAGAGTTTCTTTCCCTTCCCCCAAGGAGATGAGCTGAAGGAGGCACTAAGAAATGCCCTAGACCAGAGGTCAGCAAACATTTTCTGTAAGGGCCAGAGAGTCAATATTTTCGGTTCTGCGGCCCATAAGTCCCTGTCGCAATATTCAACTCTGCTTTGGTAGCATGAAAGGAGCCACAGACAACATGTAATAAATGAGGGTGGCTGGGTTCCAACAAAATTTTACAAAAATAGGCAGCAAGCCAGAGTTGGCCTGCTGGCCATAGTGTACCAACCCCAGCCCTCAATCTAAAACAGAGAACTTTTAAGCAAGATACCCTACACAGGCTTGAAGTGAGGAGGCGGTCCGGGAGTGTCCTATAAGATGTGCAAGCCATGCCCTAGCTGGTTTGGCTCAGTGGATAGAGCGTCAGCCTGCAGACTGAAGGATCCCAGGTTCAATTCCGGTCAAGGGCACATGCCTGGGTTGTGGTCTCAATCCCTAGTAGAGGGTATACAGGAGGCAGCTGATCAATGATTCTCTCTCATCATTAATGTTTCTATCTCTCTCTCCTTCTCCTTTCCTCTCTGAAATCAATAAAAATATATTTAAAAAATTAAAGATGTGCAAGCCAGACTTATTCAGTCAGGATGAGAAGTCTGAACTCTGCAGATTTTTGTGTTTTTGTCTTCCATTAATTTTCTAGTAAAAATTCCTACTAAAAACTCCAATTGTATTGTGGCTCAACTGGAGAGAAAAGGACTTTTTCCACATTTCTCTCATTGGGGGCGGAGGGGAGGGGGGGAGTGTTAGGTGTTAGGGGTTAGTGCCAGCAGCTTTTGTACCAGCATCGTGACCCAAGAAATGCTGGGGCACTAGCACAAAGTGGAAGGCCAGAAATCGAGTCCAGTTATAGATACTAGTCACTTCTTTCCATCACTCAGTACATCCCAACTGGTGCTGTCTGCCAGCTCAGATCCTTGGTGTAAACTTAAGCTTCCAGGAAGTGCTGTTCAGAATGTGGCAGTTATGCTTTGGGAAAATTTATCTGCACTAGACCCAACCTTCTCTCCTAGGAATTGTTTTTGGTAACTTTGGTTCTGTTCAAGATAGATCAGGAAGAAAAACAGGTGAACAGTTGTATGAAAGCAAGTCAATATTTGGTGAGTTGAACTGACTGCACTTGCTACCCAGCCGGTGTGGCTCAGCAGTTGAGCGTCAATCCTTGAACCAAGAGGTCAGGGCACATGCCTGGTTGCTGGCTCAATCCCCAGTCAGGGGCGTGCAGGAGGCAGCAGATCAATGTTTCTCTCTCATCAATGTTTCCATCTCTCTAAAAATCAACAAAAATATATTTAATAGAAAGTAATTGCACAAGCAGCATCACCAGCCATTTGGTGACAGCCTTCAAATAACAGAAACTCCTAAAGTTAATTAACCAGCCTCCTTCCACCTTAATAGCCATTTCTTTAAGTATTAATAAGGATAACAACATGAAACATGATGAGAAACAGGTTTTAATAATTTCCATGTCTAATTAAACATGGTAATGCTGTACCAGGCAACTAAAATGATCTATTGGACCCCAGGGTCTATATAGCAAAGGGGGGAGGGGGGCAGCTTTTTATCAGTAAATATTTTAACTTCTAAAATATTTCATAGGCTTGAGTTACATCACTCTGAATCATTGGGGTATAACTCACTTCAAAGTTAGATGAACACTAACTTAGATCAGTTAATCAGAACAAGGCATTGCGGCTGAAGGAATGGATTTCAAAGCAAATCCACAGACACTACAAGGAAAAATCTTGAAATGCTTTTGGAGGGCAGGGGCACACCCACCCCACCCCCTTCATTTACAGACAGCAATACAGGAAGAGATGCAGTTCAACAAGTTAGTGCAACAAATACCTACTCTGTGCCTAGTATGTGCTCTGACCCCACAAGGCCTATGCCCTCAAAGAGCGCAAGAGTTAAGGAGGTCAGGAAGTGTGTGGATACAGAAGCAGGAGTTGGCAATCTTCTCCAGAGGGAAAGCTGCTTATAATTTCCCACAGTGTCTTCAGATTTCTCATAGAAATGTTCACAAGTCATAGGCAGGAGAGCAGAATGGCAGTTATCCATCTCAAGATGAATCGTATCAGGTTTGGATACAGTGAAAAGGGTTACAGACTTGGAATTAGGAGACCTCGGTTCTAGTTCTGGCTCTGGGATTACCTAGATGTAAAAATGGCTTAACCCCAAGTACTCTCATGGTCTCAATCCTTTCTAAAAGAGAAAAATTATGAAGTTGGAGTGTTTGCCCTCACGGGTCCACTATAATGCTAAGGATAAGTAATATTCCATATGTCCTCTCATTTAATCCTCATAACTCCATAGTAAGGTTGTAATTGGTATCTCCACTTTACAAATACAGAAACCGAGACTCATAAAAATTCAGTAACTTATCCTAGATCATGTAAGCAATGAAAGTGGCAGAGCTGAGTTACAAATTCAGGTCTGCTGGTTCCAAAGCCTGAGGTCTTTGCTCTTTCTAACACACACACACACACACACACACACACACACACACACACACAAAAAAAAAAAAAAAAAAAAAAAAAACAAACCTTTGCATGTGAGTCCTAGGAATTATAAAATGGCCAAAGAGGTGACAAATTTGAAAGTCAAAATATAGAATACCAAGAATTACATTAGAAAAATACCTATAAACAACAAAAAGAATTACATTAAATACTAGAAAGAATACAGAACGGAAAGGAGGAGAAGATAAGTTGGCCAGAAGTGGAAATGGGCTCAGAGTTGGAAAACAGAGACCTGAAGCTTTATATATTCCATAATATTCTGCAGAGACCTAAGAACTATTAAATTATTAATGTGAATACACTATGTTGTAGAGAGGAAACAGGTACTCTCCTACTTTCCTGCCCCCAGGCCTATAATACCCTGCCTGACTAAATGTATTGTGATGAGTAATTTCTAAGTTCTACACAATTAAGTGAAAAAAGCAAGGTACTGAACCATATAAATAGCATGCTGTCATTTGTGAAAACACATACATATACCCAGATAATATTTGATTATGTGTACATATACATACATACATGTACCTATACAGAGCTTTCTTTAAGAATTCACAAGAGCCCTAGCTGGTTTGGCTCAGTGGACAGAGCGTCGGCCTGCGGACTGAACGGTCCCAGGTTCGATTCCAGCCAGGGGCACATGCCCAGGTTGTGGGCTTGATCCCCAGTGGGGGGTGTGCACGAGGCAGCCAATCAATGATTCTCTCATCATGTTTCTATCTCTCTCTCTCTCCCTTCCTCTCTGAAATCAATAAAGATATATATATATATATATATATATATATATATATATTTTTTTTTTTTTTTTTAAAGAATTCACAAGCTGATATCAGTAGTTCCTTTAGAGAAGGAAAATGAGAGACTGGGAAAGGGCGTAGAAAGAAAACCTATTTTTTTTTCCACTGTATACCCTTAAATGTCTGAAATGTTTGTCTTTTCATGAATTACTCATTCAAAAAAATTTAAAAGCTATCACAAGGATGAGTAACAAACAAAAATTATGACTGTGTGACCTCACAGACACACACATGAACTTGAAATAGTATCCACCTACGTCCTTGCCAGTGTCCACTGGCTCTAACTTTTTCCCTATAAAGCTTCCTCAGGTCCTGGGATTTCCCTGGGATGGCATTCTTCTTCTTGCAAAAATAATTATTTTATTTTACATTAAAACATAATCACTAATCAATTGTTCAATACTCACGCCTCCCACAGCCAACCAAAACTCATCTCACTCTGAAAACTGTTGCCTCTTAATGAAGCTCCCCAATTAGAGGAGCTGGCCTAGAATAGTTTTTTCTTTACATATTTTCAACTGTAATATCAGTATTCTTTTGAAAGAAAAACTGTTAGAGTTCATCAGCCTCCAAGGAGAACTGCCTCCCCGATCTCACTATTCTGAGTTTCTAGGGCTGTGTAGTGCAAAATGAGATTAACCATCATTTGGGCTTCTCAAATGTTTTGGTCCCAGAACAAGCATTATTGAGGGAACAGTGCCCCCTGGTGTTACTTAGAAAAAGTTACAGGAGTTTTAAACAAAATAGGTAAATTCTGCATATAAAACAGGATGGAAAATGTCACAAGAAATTCAATTAAAATCATTCAAAAAGCAGCTAGAAGTCCCCTCCCCTACCCATATTTGAATTTCACTTACCAAGGAAGGGCTAGCCAGGATGCAGTGGAAAGTCCAACAGAAGGGGAGGCCAGAGAGCTCACTCCGCACCTGCAGTATCAGTGCCTCCGCCACACGTTCACAGGAGAAGGTAGCTTTCCCAGGGCAAACAATGTCCTTCAACAGTGGGCGAAGCAGCTCATCCAAATGACAGAGAAAAGCCTCAGGGGGGGCAGTCAGGCGCTTGTTCAGCTCCTAAAAAGGTAGCGGGAGTTGTACAGGGTGAGGGTGCTAAGAGGAAACTGACTTCTTCATAAGTAACTGCAAAGGAAAACTCTAGTTAACATGAAGACAGAGGCATGAGAAGAGAGACCAACTGGCCTACCTCACAATTCTGCCTTGACTGTATGCAGAACATAAACTAATACAGAGACCATGTGGGAAGATCCCAGGGCTACCGGTAGAAGTGCAGGATATTAATTGGAATTATCTCAACCTGACTCAACCTTCCTTGACAACTGAAAGGCTAGCAAGCTGGCTGATGTTAATGTCCCCTGGCCATCCGTAGGAAATAAATTATACCCATTACCACAGCAGTACTTCTCTTCACACTTACCTTGGCTCGCTGGCTGACCACACTGGCATCCACCTGTTCATGCCACACCTCTTGAAGATCTGAAACCAGCAAGGCATAGCCCTGCTTGGTGATATAAGCCTTAGCCAAGAGGGAGTTTTCGGCAAGCTGTAGCCAGGCCCATGGCTGCATCAATAGGCCTTGCTCCAGTTCTTCCATCTGCAGGAAAGTCTTAATTAGCAGTGTCCCAGGATATTACAGGCCTGGGGGCAGGGAAGACCAGCAGACAGTTCAATATCAAATAAGTCTCATGAAATTCCTCCCTAATAAAACAGAAAACATGGGTTTATATTCTACCCCACTCATCACCCCGTCTCCCCAACCTCAGTATATAACCAACTGAGCACCAATCTTACTAACTCTTTGCCACTAAAAATCTATTTAGAATTTTGAGGAATTTTTTTTCCATATTAAGTTCCTAGAGGGCATAAAATATCTCTTTCTACGATAGTGTTTAAGCCTCAGCATATTGGTATTAGTATTTTTGATTTCTAATAATATAACTTAATGTGGAAACCTAAACCATTCTTGTTGCATATTTATCACATTCCTAAGAAATATGTCAATGTTATCTTTTCCCAGAACTTCTAGGAGAAGGAATAGTTCTTGTCTCAGAAAACATCATAAATCATAAGTGTCATCAGAGAAAATTCAAATTATTTGATCATTATCTAAAAACAAAACTCTGGAAATTCTCAGAATATATATATATATATATATATATATATATATATATATATATATATATATATCTCCTATCTAATAAAAGAGAAACATGGTAATTAGCATACGACCGCTACCCTTCCCATTGGCTAATCAGGGCAATATGCAAATTAACTGCCAGCCAAGATGGCAGCCGGCAGCCAGGCAGCTTGAAACTAACATGAGGCTTGCTTGCTTCAGTGATGGAGGACTCCAACGTTCCCCACCTGCCGCTGCAGGCCTCTGGGCTGCAAATCTAAGCAACTATGTAACAAATATAGAAGCTAAACAAAACCCCAGAAACCTGCTTTAGTCCGCCGGGCTTCAGCCAGCAGGATCGCAACATTGTAAGCAAAGGCCAGAAACCTACTTTCAGCAGCGGAGGCCTAAGAGCTGGAGCCAAGCCTCAAAGCTAAAGCTGGCCCAGAAAAAAAAAAAAAAAAAAAGGAGCGATTGGGAGCTTCAGTCACCCCCAGCCTGAAAACAGCCCTCAGCCCCTCACCCAGGCTGGCCAGGCACCCCAGTGGGGACCCCCACCCTGATCCAGGACACCCTTCAGGGCAAACCAGCCGGCACCCACCCATGCACCAGGCCTCTACCCTATATAGTAAAAGTGTAATATGCCTCCCAGCACCGGGATCAGCAGAGCCGCGAGGCCTCCTGGCACCAGGATCAGCGTGACGGGGGCAGCGCCCAAACCCCCTGATCGCCCTGCGGCTCTGTGTTTGATGGGGGCGGGGCCACAACCTCCCTATCCACCCTGCTCTGTTCATGACAGGGGAAGGCGCCCGAACCCCCGATCAGCCCTGCTCTGTGCCTGATAGGGGGGAGCTCCCCAACCCCCTGATCGCCCTGCGGCTCTGTGTGTGACAGGGTGCGGCGCCCCAACCCCCCCCCCCCCCGCACGGGCCCTGCTCTGTGACGGGGTAGAGCCATAACCTCCCCATCAGCCCTGCCCTGAGTGTGAGAGTGGCGGCGCCCCAACCCCCTGATCAACCCTGCTCTGTGGGTGATAGAGGGCGGCGCCCCAACCCCCTGATCCGCCCTGCTCTGTGTGTGACAGGGTACAGAGCCCCAACCCCCCTGATGGGCCCTGCTCTGTGACAGGGGGCAGCGCCCCAACCACGATTGGCCCTGGTCTGTGCGTGACGGGGGTGGCACCGCAACCTCCCCATCGACCCTGCCTTGAGTATGACAGGGGGCGGTGCCCCAACCCCCCAATCAGCCCTACCCTGAGCGTGACTGAGGGTGGCATCGCAACCTCCCGATCCACCCTGCTCTGTGCATGACAGGGGCAGCGCCCCAACTCCCCAATCGGCCCTGCTCTGAGTCTGACCAGGGGCTGCACCTAGGGATTGGGCCTGCCCTCTGCCACCCGGGAGCAGGCCTAAGCCAGCAGGTCATTATCTCCCGAGGGGTCCCAGACTGCAAGAGGGCACAGGCCGGGCAGAGGGAACCCCCTTCCCCCCGAGTGCACAAATTTTTGTGCACCAGGCCTCTAGTATATATATAACACTTTTATTTTCACTGAACAAAATACATATACTAAAAATATATATAATATAATGACAAATATAATAAATGATTACATATATAATATAAATATATATTTCCTAAGACAGATTCTTAATCTAGAATCTATGTATATGAGTCCTCTGGAATTGCATGCAAAATTTGTGCATGCATGCATACATTCATTTGGGGAGAAGAAGTCCACGGCTATGGACAAATTCTCAAAGGGATCAATGACACACAAATAAGAAGCTAATAAACACTGGGTCCAGAGCAAACAGGAAAGCCCAAATCCCAATTCAAGAAGAACCTGAAAGACTAAGAAGTCATGAATACAAGGCAGAGTACATCACCGAGGTAGAGATGATGAACGCCCACTTCACTCAGCCCCCACATCCCCACCCTAGGGCACTGCCATCGATGATGCCCTGCCCTACTGCACATCCTGGAACTACTAGAAAGCAACTTTTCTACTTCAACAACTCAATCTGTAGCCTTAACCTAGTAGATAGTCAGCAACTGTGGCTACTTGACAAGAAGTTTTCTTTTTCTTGTGGGTTAAAAAAGGGGGGGAGTGTTATAATGTCCTTTATTATTTCAGTATATAAATACAAAGTGAAGTGGGGGGGGGGGGCATCTCAGAATATAAAGAAAATTCCTTGGGTTTCATTAACAAAGTTAACATGGTTTGTTCCAGGCATTTCCATCTCAGTCTAAGCCAGGGGTGGGCAAACTTTTTGACTCGAGGGCCACAATGGGTTCTTAAACTGGACCAGAGGGCTGGAACAAAAGCATGGATGGAGTGTTTGTGTGAACTAATATAAATTCAAAGTAAACATCATTACATAAAAGGGTACGGTCTTTTATTTCAATAGTTTTATTCATTTCAACCGGGGGCGGGCCGTAGTTTGCCCACAGCTGGTCTAAGCCATTATTCTTCCAACCATAACCTAGTTTTTTAAACACAGCTTTGTAACATAATTTAATCTGTACAGTGGGTAGACAAGTGAAATATTGTGACTTTCATTTGCAGCAGCCTCAAAATGTTTTTGTTGAATGGTACATCAGTCACATTTCCTACCGTGATTAAGTAATCCTCACTGCACCAGAACTCACTGACAAGGTCGCAGACACAGTGAAGTCGCCAAACCCTACTCTCCCTTAGTGGCACTACCTCGAGTGTACTGTCTGATTCACCAAAATTGGGTTATCCTGGCCGGTCACTTCAGAAAGCCTGGAAGCTCAGGAACATCAAACTGTAGGGATGTGGTGGTGGTTTTTTGTCGGTTTTTTTTTGTTTTCGAGGTAGGGGAGGAGTTTAAAGTGTGGCCAGGGTCAACAGGCCACATAAAAAGGTCAGATATTTAGCGCCACCCACGTCCTATTGAGTCTAAGGCTCTCTATCCCCTTTTTCTTTTATTCTTCAAGATCCCCTTTCACCCTCACGTTAACCATATTTTCCCGTTTATTATTTTTTAATATATTTTTATTGATTTCAAAGAGGAAGGGAGAGGGAGAGATAAACATCAATGATAAAGAATCATTAATCAGCTGTCTCCTGCACGCCCCCCAACTGGAGATCCAGTAGCAACCCGGGCATGTGCCCTGATCAGAATCCAACGTGACCTCCTGGTTCATAGGTCCAAGCTCAACCACTGAGCCACCGGCAAACCCGTTTATTATTCTTGAAGGAAGTGGGGGTGCGCCCAGGGCCAACAGCAAGGTGAAGTCACCGGGGAACGCGGGTCTGCGCCAACCCCCGCCCCTCGGCCTGCAGTTCGGCGCAGTTCCCCCGCCAACCAGCAGATGGCAGCAAGGCCCCGGCGACCCTTGGGCTGGGCCACGCCCCGCCCCCGTGGGAGGGACGAACCCTCGCTCCCGCGACTCCAGCCCCAGCCCAGGAGCCGCGCCCGGCGCCCTCGCCCGACGGGCCTTCGCCGTCCGCCTCAGCATTTCTACAGCTTCGGCTGCACTGGGGCGCGGCTCGGGACCCCTCAGGGGTAACAAAGCCAACCACCCGCTGCTTTTTTCGCACAAAGTAGCCCGCCGAGGAGTAGCCTCACCGACCCCGCCTCGCGGCCGGGAGGCTGGCTGTGCTGCGCGCGGCCCCCGAGGCCCCGCCCACCCCGGGAGGTCGGCCCAGGAACGCGGGCCGAGCGCGGGTCCCTCCTGGGACAAAGCGCCCGTGGGCGCGGCACCACGCAGGGTCGGAGCAGCCCCGCGCCTCTCGGCCCGGCTCTGGTCCCCATTCGAGCCCGACCCCACCTACCGTGAGCGGCTGCAACAGCTCCCACCCTCCCCGCGGCAGGCCTGCCGCCCACGCAAACCGAAAGGCCTAGACTAGAGCCATTCCCCACCCCCCACGGGAGGCGGGGCCTTAGGGACACAGGGCGGAGCCTGGGCCGACATGGGCGGGGCATCTGGACCCACGGAGCTGATTGGAGGAGCGCTCAGACCTGGAGGTCCACCTTGGCCAGGGGGAGAGGCAGGGCGGCCCGCTGGTGGAGAGGGGGAGGGGGAGCGGGGCTGGCCCCGTGGAAAGAAAGAATGTCGGGCGGGCCGCTCGGGGGTTGAGCATCCACCCATGAGCCAAGAGGTCACCGTTGGATTCTGGTCAGGGCACATGCCCACAGGCCGGGGTTGCAGACTCAATCCCCATTAAGGGGTGTGCAGGTGGCAGCCGATCAATGAGTCTCATTGTTTTTTTGTTTGTTTGTTTTGTTTTTTTTATGCCCAGTGAGGTGCAGGAGAGGAGTCCTGTATTTGGACTTGTCAATAAATGTCACTTCCCCTGCCTCCCCTACATTGCCATAATTAGGCTTCATCACCACTGAGAAGCTTGAAATCCCTCAAATCATCTTGTACTTCGGACAACTTACGGTTTTTCTTGAGCTGGATACCTGAGCTGGAAAATTGTTCTGGTGCATTTTCCACAACCCCAAATCTTCCTCTTGCTAAGGCCAGCCTCAGAGCTGCTGCTTTCAATAAAGCCTTTCCCACTACCCAAGTCAGAATTAATTGCTTTTTCCTCTTTGCTCCCATAGCATTGTTTTAATCTTCGATACAGACTGCCTTCTGCTTTGGATTTTAGTTAGTAATTACATAAGTCTTTTAAAACCATAAGTGGTTTTTTAAAATATATTTGTATTGATTTCAGAGAGGAAGGGAGAGGGAGAAAGAAACATCAATGATGGGAAAGAATCACCAATTGGCTGCCTCCTACAAGCCTGCAACCCAAGCATGTGCCCTTGACCAGTATCAAACCTGGGACCCTTCAGTCCGCAGGCCAACGCTCTATCCACTGAGCCAAACCAGCTAGGGCAGGAACCCTGTCCTATCCATACCTGTAGTTCCAGGGCCTTGCACATGGGAAGCGCTCAGTAAATATTTAAGTGAATGCCAGAGTTCAAGTATAGATAGTTTACAGGCAAAATCTCGTTTATTCATTCATGGCCTCTGCTCTGAAACAGTTGGACTTAATTAAGAGAAGGAAAGGCAACATATCTATTGGGAAACAAGACCCGTGAGTAGACCTATTTTACACACACACAGACACACACACACTCCCTAAGAGAAAATAGAACCTGGGAGCTGACTCTCCAGCAAGCTGGGAGACAGAGCAATCTAACCAGAGCGGAAGTATGAATCCTGGAATTAATGGGGCCTAAGTTCTTCTCTGCTAGACCGGGGGTACTGCTCCCCAAAACCAGGCAGCAAGTCGGCTGTCTCTCCTGGCTCAGCGGGCCCTCCTTCCTCATTCCCAGGGTCTTCAGGCAATGGGCAGAGGCAACAGGCCTGCTGAGGGATGCAGGGACACAAGTTTTGGAGGGGAAGAGGAAGCTCATACTCTTGAGCAGCCTTCTCCCTGGAGTTCTGAGGCATCCAAGCCTCTTGGGCAGTGAAAGGGGACGGTAGCCCTTGACCTAGGCCTCGTTCAAGCCGTGTGCCTGCAAAACAGAAGTCGGTCAGGCCATTGCCCAATCCAGGGAGTGTTGGCTTCCTGGCCATTCCCAGTCTAGGGCCTGACCTCAACTTACCAGGAATGGTGTTCTCTAGGAGGAAACCCAAAAGGCCCGCCAGGAAGATGTGCTCTGCGAGCAGCGAGTGAAGTAACACATCCAAGGGACTCCAGCCTATAGGATTGGGACCAGGCAGGTGGGGAACCCTGATACTATGCAAGGCCAATGAGTCTCATACTTCCAGACTTAAATATAAGTCTTGGACTAAGGACAGATCTTTCTGAATCGTAGTTCCACCCCCTTCATCCTTTGTTCTTCTCCACCCTGGCCCTTCTCACAGGATCCCTGCTCAACACCCTATCTCCTGAGCATCCACATGCCCTCCAGATATGCTTTGATTGTTCCAGGCTCTGGAAAGTTTTGTATTAAAACCCCCAACCTTATTTCCCACTTACCTTCTATGCTCTAGCCTGGGTTTTTCAACCTCGGTACTACTAATCATTTAGACCAGCTAATTCTTTGAGGAGGGGTGTCTTGTGCACTGTAGGATACTAAGCAGCATCCCTCTACCCACTACATGCCTGTAACAATTCCCCATCCCCTTTTTGTAAGAGCCAAAAATGTCTTCAGACATTGTCAAAATCATTCTCAGTTGAGAACCATTGCTGCTTGCTAAGCTGAACTAACACACTAAGCTATTTGCTGCTCTCAGGGCATCCCCTATGACTTCCTCATTCTATGTCTTTATGATGGTTCCTCCACCAGGAATGACCTTCTCACCAAATGTGCTTAAATCTTAGCATCCTTCAAGACCAGCTCAACATATTTTCTCCATAAAACTTACCTGGACCATCTCAATCCATAAGTCATCCATCTCTTCACCACTGAGCAGCACAGCTCTTTATCTGAACCTTTCCTGTTATGTGCCTACACATCTAATTTCTCTTACTAGACTGTAACATCTGGAGGCACCTTTGTATCCCAAGGAACTTGCATGGTGCTCAATAAATATTTGCTAAACAAATGGATGAACTATTTATACGAAAGACCAGAAAAGGGTGTAGGGCCTGCAATTCAGAGAGCCTCAAGCCTCAAGCCCTGGCTTCCCGATACTGAGCAACTCTTCCCCTCTCCCTCCCACCTGTGCTTAGCAGGACCGGAGCTTCCCGAAGCCATCTCGGCAGCAGCAGGGCCATGAAGATGGAGAAGCCAACAATGAAAACATTCCGCCCAGAGTCAATGTCAGCCAGGTGGAAGTTGGAGAATCCAGTAGACACAACCACAGCCTGGGTCACGCCCAGCACTCCACCTGTCTCATAGGAAAGTCATCAAAGGAGCTGAGTGAGGGCTGGCATAGCAGGGGGTATTGCAGGGTGGGGCAGATTGTGACGGAGAGAGATGACCAAAAGGCAGTTTCTGATTCTGCCAGAAGCCAAATCAAGCGCTTCTGTTGGGCTGAGAAAAGGAAGGCAGCTGACATACATATCCATGTATCAGGGAGACTATTCAGAAAAAAAGGGTGCCAGCGACAGCAACCAGTTGGGCCACTAGGTCAATACTAGGGGGATACTAGGTCAATACCAGTTCTGCTGATACATTCACTCACCAAGAACAGGCAGCGGGATGGTGGTGAGGAGGTGGGCCAGCCTCGGGGAGAGCCCAAGCGCCACACAGAGCAGCCCCACCAAGTGGGCCACTCGCTGAGATCCAGCCTACATGAAGAAGAGACGTTAGAAAACACAGCCACCTCTTTGACTATTCAAGGTGTTGGCCTGGTGGCCTCTTCTCACCATTTGGATCCCAACTCAAATGTTACCCTTCCATGGAGCATCCCCAAGCACTCTACCTAAAGGGGCCTCCCTTACTCAACCACTACCCCACTACCTGCTTTGTTTTCGGGAAATTATGTTATTTATGTTCTGGGGGATGTGTGTGTGTGTGTGTGTGTGTGTGTGTGTGTGTGTGTGTGTGTTTCTCAAATTGTCCACCACTCCCTCTCTGAAGTCCCGAAGAGAGCAGGGACTTTGACTCATTCTTCACTGGAACCCCAGCCCTAATACAGTGCCCGAGGCATAGAAGAAGTTCAATGTTGATTTGGTGTCTTCCTTACACTCCTAGCCCCTTACCACTTCTAGGCACCTCCCTAAATGAGAACACTGATGTGAAGTGCCTAACAGAGTATAGCACACAGCTGTCAGTCATGTGAGTTCCCTTCCCTCTCCTGCACCTCCAGCACAGCCCCCACCCCATCCCATCCACATACCTGGATAAGACTCACTGTGCCCACATTGGGGAAACTGGATGCAGTGCCTAACGGGCTCCCTAGCATCCCAGCCAGCACACTTCCCAGGCCCTCCAGGCTCAGCCCTCGACTGCAGGCATGTGGAGGTGGGCAAGGCAAATGCAGCAGCCAGCCACACAACGCGTAGCAGCCCAGGGAGCTGATGGAGGTTGCCAAGGCCATGGAGATGCCTGCAGCCAGAGCCCGGGGTGTCAGCAAGGGCCAGACCCACTCAGCTGAAGAGAGAGAAAGAGTGACTTTGGGGCCAGACTCAAGTCTGGAGCATCCCCCCACCTCCAAAGAACTGTGCTACAAGAATCCTAGAGGCCCCATTGCCTGTGAAGATGTTTTAGGAGAAAACCATCAAACTCTTAGAATAAAAACCATCCTTTTACCAGGGTCTACCGGTCTTCTTGGGTCTGACCTTACCACTGTCCCTTTAGCCTCATCTCCCTCCACACTCTGCCTGACTTCCCTCACTCCAGATACACTGTCCTTGTTTAAGATCCTTATATTTGCTGTGCTTCTGGCTACCACAGGGCTTTTGCATATGCTGTTCTCTCCACCTAGAATGCTCTTCTGTCTTCCTTCACCCAGTTAGCTCCTACTCATATCTCACCTCAATGACCACTTCCTCAAGAATACCTTTCCTGACTCTCTGATAAAGTCAGACTCCCCATTATAAGTTTTCATCATACAATGTACTCCCCATTGTTACACTTGCCACATGCAATTTTGCATTACTTGGATGCCTACTTAATTAGGATCTGTACTGCCCAATAGATTATACGTTTCATGAGAACAGGTACTATGCATGTCATGTTTATCACTATGTTCCCTATCAAGTACCTCGCACTTAATCGACACTCAACAGGCCTTTATTAAATGGATGAATGAGCAGATTTCAGATGCAAAGACTCAAAAGCAATCTTTATACACAGGTAACTAACTCAAATGCCTGTGGGGTAGGTAACATAAATGTGTAAATTGGGTAAGGAGGATCAGTAGAGAGTGCTGGGGTTTGCAGACATCTGTGGTGAGGGGCTGGCATTGCCCCTGAGAATGGCAATTTCTCTCTCCTGTGTGTTTTGAG